TGAATTCGAAACAGGATTTGAACGTGGCGGTCAAACACGTGAACATACAATACTTGTGAAAACAGTTGGTGTTCGTAATTTGATTGTTCTTGTTAATAAAATGGACGATCCGACTGTCAATTGGAATGAAGCCAGATATCGAGAAATCGAAGGAAAATTATCACCATATCTCAAAATGTGTGGTTTCAAGCTCGAGAAAGATACTATTTTTATACCATGCAGTGGAATGACTGGGACGATGCTTATTGAACATCCTGAAACAGAAGTCGTGCCTTGGTATACGTAAGTAATCGGTGTTTAATTATGGACTAGATGGTCAGAATGATTTTTTCCAGTGGACCAACTCTTATCGAATATTTGGATGGAATTCCATCGTTCGATCGGAATATTGATGGCTGTCTTCGAATGCCTATTGTTGAACGATACAAAGTATGTGTTCAATTGATATGTTTTTTGTTGAGATTTGACAATTGACATGTAGGATATGGGTGTGATTGTTCTGGGTAAGATCGAATCGGGTCAAGTTCAGGTCGGTGATCGTTGTCTGATCATGCCTAATCGAACACGTGTCGAAGTAACAAATATTCATTATGAAGACATTGAAACAGATTCGAGTATGTGGTGAAAATGTTCGATTAAAACTGAAAAATATCGAAGAAGAAGTGAGTGTCTAATCCATTTCATATTTCATTTGATAGCTTCAATTTCTAGGAAATTTCACCTGGTTTTGTTCTATGCGACATGATTCACAAGCCTTGTCACGTGGGTAGAGTATTCGATGCTCAAGTAAGGATTTTTCGTTGATTGAGAAAATCACATTATTTATTTGATATTGTTATAAGGTTGCAATCATTGACTACGATTCAATTATATCCATAGGTTATTCAGCTATACTTCATCTTTACACTACTGTGGTCAAAGTTGAATTGAAAAAATTGATCTCATTAATTGATCGTAAAACTGGCAACAAGACAAAGCTATCCGTGCCTTTTATCAAGCAAAATCAAACAGCTATTGTTCGTTTCGAATTATCGGAACCGAATGCTGAGATTTGCATTGAAACTTATAAAGATTTTCCTAAATTCGGCCGATTTATCTTGCGCGAAGATGATCGTACTATTGCTATTGGTAATGTTCTCAAAATTAATCCGTAAACGATGACTGATTGATACAATCTCGCTTGTCATGCATTATCAAACAATAAAATAAACTTAAACAGTTATGAAATCTATAATTAAACAGTGAGAGCGAGAGAAAATGAATAAAGGCGGTGATCAAAAATTATCAGGATTTTTCCCACTCTGGAAACATTATGAAATGAAAGTACCTTAGTAGTATATAACAGCCTTGATATTAATTTATTAAGATCTCATCCCTTTTATTGACAAAAACTTAAGGAATGTTATGTCTATTTCTTATAGGCCCATATAGGACCTCAGGTTTTGGAAAGACCGTATTTTCGAATTTTGATCTGAAATTTTGCGAATACAGAGATCTCAACTAGACTAGCTTCTTTAAAAAAATTCAGAAGTTTTGAACAAAGTCTCTTCGAGATATGAAGCTTTCAAGATATAAGCCCTTATCCATAGGTAGTTAGACGACATGCATTTTTGAAAGCTTCATATCTCGAAGATATTTTGTGGGTGTAGGTGTGGAGTGTGGGTGCGGGTGTGGGGTGTGGGTTGCGTGAAAGACAAGCCATACATCCACATCCACACTCTAGGCAACAAAAGGAAAAATCGTGTAGTGATTTTTGCAAATATGTAATGCCCGAAGCTTTTGGCTGAAGTTAAAAATAAGTATTAGTTGTACATTTCATCTTTACATGTAGGAACTGCGTTCCTAGCTGTTTTATTAGAAAAGCAGAAGAATGGGTCCATAGGTTCATATGTCGTAGGGATATTTAATGTAGTTTTCGTGGCACAGTTTTCGAAAAACTTGAGATCTGTATGTATCCATGTAAGAGTCTACAGTTCTTCAGATTCTTCAGAAGTGCGTAACCGTTCTCTATGTTCATCAGTTTGCCAAGAATGTCTGAATCCTTTCTCATTCGACCCACGAGAATGCTTTGTTTTCAGAAATGTTTTCGCTTCGTGTTCATCTAGAAGCCATGTAACCATGGATGAGCTCTTTGAATTGGTTCGACTTGGGATGACAGTGCTTTGAATTATATCCATATTTATGAAACCGCACTTGATGAAGAAAGTCAAGAAGAATATGAAGTATATAGATAAGCGACTATACATTTGATAAGTATCTAGAAATGAAAAAACGGGTGTTTCTCACAAGTCACGTCTTGTTTTTGGTCACAACACTTGCTTTAGGGAAAGTGGAACAGGATATCCGAAAGAAAGTGTGAGGATGGATCTTCTGCCTAGCGACACCTACACTCACATAGTCATACTCGTATCATATGCTCCACAAAATTTCATACTTTCAGAAGAAAATGAATGATGTGTGCGTCACATTATTCGTAGTTAAAACTTTGTGCTTGTCTTTTCAGATCTCCTTCATCGTATGCTCACAAAGTGGTAGTTAAATCAAAAACTTTGTTGACATTTTCAATATGTTTTTAATAAAATTTTTCATTCTTACACGTTGCTTCTATTCTTATAAAATTCAATCCGAGCATTTGCAGCTTGATGTACCTTTCTTGTTTCTTTCTTTTCGTTTTCGCTCTTCCGAGTTGGCAAGCAAAACACTTGTCATAGCTATCTTGAGGGTATGGATACATTCTTCAGCAACCACATCCACATCCCAGTTTTGTCAGTTTGAATCAATATTTTTCAAACACACCAAAAAGTTCATTTATGTTTAAAGACTAAGTTGATTTGATATTATTAATTAAAAGATATCATTTGAGAAAAACTTCTTCACGCGATATCTATTTGTCTCAATCATTGCATGGTCAGTTGATAACATTTTGGTTTTATGTTGTTGCTAAAGCAGTAACTTAATTATCGATGATTTATATGCATTTGGGAATGTTTTTTTCTTGAAATATTACTTGGAATTCTTCCTTTCATTCTTTTTGTGAAACACGACCTGAAAGGAGTGTTGAAGTGTTTAGGGGTAGAAATTTGGACCCTCCCCCCCTCCCACAGACCGTGACAGACAGGGCTCTGGACCCATCACAGACCGTGACAGAGAAACTGTAGTTCTAAAGCATCAGATAAACGGTTAGCTACAAATGTATTGCAAAGAAATGGAACAAAACGATTTCCATTTAATTAGTAACAACAGATCCATCGTGTTTCACATTTTTAATCTCACAAGGGATTGCGCTAACAGCTTTTTTAAATATATTACATCAATTTTTTTCAAGTATCTGTAAGCTTCTATACGTATTTATTAAAATAAAAACAAGATCAATAATAAAACGACATTGCATTTCCGTTCGAGATACGACATAGAAGTGTAACTTAAAAAAAATCAATCTTCTAAAAAAGAATATCGATTTTTCAATAGAATACTCTCAGGTATATATAGAAATATCTCTAGACTATTTTATGTCATTCAAGTTAATACAGAAGCAAAAATCAATCGAGAAAAGTGATAAGGCTGTGGACGTGTTGATGTGGATGGGTTGCAAGTGTGGCTGTGGGTGTGTGTATGCGAGCTAGAAGGCACACACCCACACCCATCCATCCCTACTATTTTTCTTAGATTAGCATATAAAAGTCTAATATTTTGGGTATGTATCCAACTCGAGTTGGCCTACTCACTGGTAAAAGATATTGGTGTTCGTGGACGTTCTTAGACTCGAAAAAACAGTGTTCTTTTTGGAAATCATTCTCATGTTCAACCATTTTGGGTGTTCATGGAGGCAGCTCAACGTGCTCGATCTAATGATAGTACCTGTTCCCGTTTTGGAGGTGTTCGTGGATGTTCGTAGGGATTCGCGTCCTTTACTAATACCCTGTTAATTAGCAGTCATTTGAGAGAGAAAGATCTTTTTACAATAAATAGTATCATCCACCTTCTACTCATCGCACTGGACAGAATATCGCAATTCATAGACAACTTTTTTAAAACAAACTCAATTCAACTTCTTTTAAAGCACTAGTAGAAAAAAAGACTCGCTTCTCATTCTATAATATTGAATTTGATTCAGGCTCTACTTCTGAAATAATAAACAGTTTCTATTCATTAATCTATCATTGATACTCTAGATATGCTTTTTGCTAATAGAAAGTCATTCTGAAAAAGGAAAATAGTGATTATTTGAAATTAAAGAATCTGAAGCACTTTATAGGGAATCTCGTCTCACAAAACAAATAACTCATCACTCTGATGTCCACTTAAGAGACATCTGCGTGCAATTCAAGCTAAATATCTTCTAGACAAAAACTATTATTGAAGATATCCTTAAAAATGAAGTATACACATGAAATTCCTCCTTACTTTCAATCTTTTTGATGAAGTTTTCGTTTCTTTTTCAAAAATGAATTGATCGATTCGTCTGATAGCTCAGCGTTTTGTGTATTGCAAAATTCACTTGCGATATTTACATTTCATTCTCTATGATTCAACTATCGGCTGTTTTTTTTCAAACAATCAATATGAAGCTATAGAAAAAAATGAGTTTTGCAATCAAGTGTTGTTAAGATTATTGACACATGAATTCAATAATTTGTTTAGTGACTCGAATTGTAAGGGTGTAGGTATGAGGTGTGGGTGTGGGTGGGTGAGGTGCGTGGATGGGTGTGGAAGGTGTGGGAATTAGTGTGGATTTGAATGAAGAGAAGGCTCACACCAATAGTCACACTCCGCACCCACACCCACACCCACTATGGAAATCTTGGAAAGGTGACATCAAATAAACCATTGATCTGGAATAAGCCATGAGCAAAGTTTGGAACCTTAATGAATCCTATGTGGTGGATGTCTCCCCTATTCCTCTATCTAACAGCGAAAACCACAGCTTGATAGCCTGAAATGATGAAACGTTTTTCGAAAAATGATGTTTGGCAATTTTTAGAAAATCGCACATTAGTGCTGAGTGCAATGTTGGCAAAAACTCAGATGGCATGAGGACTTATAGTACTTGATGAGTATAAGAAGATGATACTTACAGACAAAAATTGCAAATATTTTTCTCATTACGTTGTCTAGTGAATTGGCATCTAATCGGTATGTTTCTTCTAATTATTATATAGAAATCTGAATTGTAATTTTTGAATTAAAAAATAAATGGCGAAATCACATAGGCTTTTCTGACAAAGCATACTTCATTTTAGAATCGAAATATTTCCTAGAAAATAAAAACTTTGGTATGGATATTTGTGTCTATAACTTGATAATTTTGCTTCTATAGAGTATTTCTTTTGGGAAGCTACGGTTTTTATTACCTTTTTTTGTTACTGTTAGATAGACAATTATTTCGACAATATGGTATCTACAAGTAACGTTCATCGTCAAGCGATTCACTTAGCCCTAGACTGATAGAATACATGTACGGATGTAATAGCATAAAAAGCTACATTAAAAAAGTAATACGCAAAATTGATAATATAACCAGTATATCTTAGGCGAGCAGAAAACTTAATTCGGAGAATTCTCACTCTAAGTAAAGATAATGCATTTTACAAATATTATTTTTTTTGTCGTTTTTGTTTTATTTTTTTTTGCTTTTATAAATATAAATAGCGCTCAATAAGATTAGACAAGAATACGATTTTTTTTATAATTATATTGGCGCTATTTGTACGTACAAAAATATGAATTATATTATTCATAAATTTGCGTTTTATTAATCAATATTTTATGCTGAAATTCGCGCATTAATTCTAAACTATTGATAAATTAGATATTCATTGATACAACATTGCACAATCAATCCTACAATAATGAATAATTTAAACGATTTCTTTAAATCCATACTGGTCATTTGGTCTGACTCTCACTAATTAAATGCTTTTGTAAGCGGTTTTACACCACTACCCGAATTATAGTTATTTCATTGACACATTTTATCGATGATTATTATGGGTTCATTTACATCAGTCTTTAGATGGTCATTGGTGCCATAGTTACCGAAATAGTTGTTTGTACCATGGTTGCTATATGGTCATCTGTGCCATAGTTACCGAAATAGTTGTTTGTACCATGGTTGCTATATGGTCACCTGTGCGATAGTTACCGGAATAGTTGT